ATTCTTTTTGTATATAAAACTTGTACACTGTCAATGTAGACAGACAGTTTGATATAAAATTCCATCTTATTTTTTTCAAACCAATTACAATCTACCTTAATCTAAAAGCAAAAGAATTCAGGAAACAGTTTTCCCGCTTAGATCTGTCGCTTTCGCAATACATTACTCCGTATTTTTTTTGCTCAAGTTCAACGCTAAATGTTAATTCATTCGGCATGGAGGTGTGAATAGTTGAAATGCATTTACAGGTGCTCCTATTGGTCTAAATGGGTGGTGAGCACTGTTGGGTTAAATTCTGACTCCATTTGCCCTGCTGTTCACCTAACGTTACTTTTATTGGTGGAAAAGGAGGTCCAAACAGTGTATGGCAGTGGCCCATACCATCTGACCCTATTATTGCTGATTTCTTCAGGTATAAAAACCTCACTCCAGCGGCATTATTATCACATCCATTCTGCGTTCTGGCTCAAATAGCAAAAATAGAAACAAAGTCATCGTTCAATGACAACACAAATCCTTATCCAACGTCCTGCATATGAAAAAATAGAAACAAAGTCATCGTTCAATGACAACACAAATCCTTATCCAACTTCCTGCATATGACAATTTTAGAGCATTGTAAAGAAGGATACAAAAGGCGATCCGTCTATTCATGGAGAAAAGTCAGAATGATGTGATAAATATTCTATATTTTTTGTTCATGGTTGTTTTTACTCTGGATTGAAGATGGTGTTTATTTGAATTGAAATTGTGTTACTTTGTGTTTTTAAGTTCTTAGAGTTTTCATCGTTAAAAGAGATGGTTTATCCTCTATGGCATAAGACTTTGATATTATTTATCTACTAAGTCTCTTCTATATTGCCCAAGTTTCAATTTTCTATTAACAGCGAAAATAGTAGGGCAAAAATAAGTTAGATGCTTCATCTTTTGCTAATAGGAGTAAGATTGCCACCAATATCCGTTTTTAGACACAAAAACATGCATGCAGTCAAATACAATGTCATCCATAATACTTCTTAAACTTTTGGAGTATATTTTTTGAAATACGAATGATAGGCTTTTGGAGTTTTGGTTGTGAACCTCATTGTAGTTTTCCTTGAAGACATTGTTTAGAACGTCAAAGATAAAATTTTACTTCAATGGATATTTTAGTAATTGATTAACCAAGACAGATATATTTCATATCATGCCACCAAAACTTCTGGGGTTTTATTTAAGATATTAAATTTAAAGTGATTTAGTGAGATAGATAGCTTTCCTATATGAATGTGACTGGGGTTTGGTATTGGACATATGTGTCATGTGAGTTTTACAGCAAGGTTAAAAAGAAAATGTTTTCCAAACAACCATATAAGACTATATTTATAGATCGTATGGGACAACCTTCTATTAAAACAGACTGATAAAAGTTAAACATATAGTAGTATATAACATGAATGTTATAAAATGGTCTAATATTTTCATACGAAGTATGAAATGCAAACAGTAAATAATATTCACACGGGATTTGATCTTAAACATAAATATGTTGGAAAACAATCTAAAATACACGTTTTAAACATAATGGTATGGACTCTTAAACATAGAGATTTAATAATAAAAAAATAGGTTTTAAAAATAATTAGGAATAAGTCCGAAATAGTTGTAGAGATAGTTCAAATTTGGAAATTAAAACCAATAACCAGTCATAAAAATACAAAAGAACCAAGGGTTCGAATTTGGGGTGCAAGAATAAATGCCTCAAGAGTTTGTTTCACAGCAACGCCTTTCAAATTAGGGTTCCTCTTATGAAATTTCAGATGAATCTTTGAACATGCCGTAGAGTGGATTGATAAAGCTTTGAGTTTAAATTCAAATGAAGCAACCGAAATTGTATAATTGGATGAACTGTACCTTAAGCACGATATCACACCCCGGCTGTGAGAAGCTTCAAGGCGATCTTAGTCACTTTTCCCATATCTAATATCACCTGCTGGGCTCGGTCAATGATGTATGAACACGGTTGTAACTGAATGGAGTGAATGGTATAGAGGGACTCGAGAGGGGCGTGAGTAGGACAGTTTGGGGATATGGGTTTAGAAGATCACGGTCTTCTACATGCTAGGATCGAGATGACCGGAGTTTGCCATGGGAGGAGGAATTTTGGAAATGGTTAGTGGTGGTGATGTACGAAATGCCTGGACGGTCATTTACCAAGCCCTTGAATCTGGATGAAGCAACGGTTAAGTGTGCCTGAAACTCTTATTCGTTTATGAGCCCAAAAAATACTCTGAATTTAGCTTTGGGTAATAAGTTGTGCGTTTGGGAGGAGTATCTAGCAACCCTTATTTATACTGCGTTACATTAAGATCCCGTTTGGTGGCACCAAAATCGGTTAATTTGACTGATTCTGCTGAAATTTATGAAGTTTTGGCTGAAGTGGCTGCTTTGGCTGATTCTGCTGATTTAAGAAAAACATATTTTTTAAATATATTTTATTAATAAAATAAACAAAAAATTATATGTAAAATAGCTAAAATGGTCATCTACAGACTACAGTAACTTCAGCCAATACAGCCAGAAAAGTAACTCCAACCTTACCTTTTCTGCTTATTACACAATTCAGCCCGCGAAAGTAAAAGTTACGTGTTTGGTGAAAAAACTGGCTGATAATCCTGGGAAGCCGAAAAATAGTGGTTCCAAACGGCCTCTAATTATAATCGATTTGATCATTTTGTTTGATTTTTAACACATCAAAAGTATCTGTTTCCGAATTTTTAAGGGCTGATAATGTCTAAATTCATGCATGCATTGTTTTGATAAATTTTGAGATACAATTACTAAATTGGGATAAATTACTAAAATAATCTGTATTTTTTGTTTACAATAGCAAATTAAATTACCTGATAAGAAATTTAAAAATATTATTAAAATATAGGTATTGATGTATAACAAGTTAATTAATAATAATGTAGTACGTTGGAAGTTGGAAATAGTTAAGGCATATAAGTCTTTAATAAATTGGTGGAATGTTAAACAAAAAAACAAGGCATGTAAAAGCATGCATAAAAATTCACTAACAAGTCCTCTCTCCGTCCCTAAATTATGAAAACATTCCATTAATATTACTCTTTAAAATGTGGTGAACAAAATTTTACTTAGTAACTATTAGTGAGTAGTGACTATAATTGTGTTCAAATTTACGTCGTAGTAATCACATGTAAGTTATTACGATGTAAACTTTGACCACAATAATAGTCACTAATAGTTATTTAGTAATATTTTTATTCATGACTTTTTTATAAATAATATTTAAGAAAAACTTCAGAAATTATCTTCCAAATGTAAGAGATTAAAATAGTGGGTATTGGATGGTGAATGGTTGTGCATAGGAGAATGACATGTGTAATAATGCACGTAGTATAAGAATTGGTGCAAGTCATAAGTTGTTTGCTAAAAAGGAAAAATGGAGATTATTTTAGGATAGACAAAAAGGGAAAGTTAAAAAATAATTCTAAGATAGAGGTAGTATATCTAATTATAATTGTTTTGAAATCTTAGAATCTAAAAGCCAGCCTATAAAAAGAATTCTAACAATCAAAATTTCAAACCTAAGTGTTAGTACCGTGACCACAAAACTGAGTCATATTACTAATTTAGAGAGTACACTTTGAGGTCTTTGACAAGATGGAGTCATATAACTCATACGGAGTATTACTAATTTAGAGAGTACACTTTGACATAATTTGTATCATCATTGGATGTATGCTTATTGATCCGTATTATCTTATTGACAAAAAAGTGTGCGTAAATTTCATGGTTTGACATTCAAAACTCCCAGGTAGTGCAAATGATGAACGTACTTAATTTTTGATTTCTCATTTGAGTAAAATCACAGCCGTGAGTTTTTCGCCAACTGTGCATCTCACAGATGTTATACTTATTTTTTTTTATTATACAAACTACTATCAAACAAAAAAAAATTATAAAACTACTATAACAGGTCGAGGGGCTTGATTGAATGTGTTTTGAAAGTAAATGTGTTTAATGTTACAATTACTTTTTCAATTCGTATACGGACTGAACTGCAATGTTTAAAATAGTAGAAGGACCTATTTGAACATTTTCCCACAAATCTATACGTAGTATTAGAGTATAGTTTAAGACTCACATAACACACTTTCACATTTTGCACACATCCCGTTATGCCTGTTTACAAAGGCGATTCGTCTAAAAATGCAATTCATATAAAGATATAGTCAGCCCATTATTTAATAATTATAAATAATTCACCTTCAATTGGTGTATATAAACCTTAGAAAATGAAAAAAAAATCATTTGTGCATCGCTCAAGTCAATTAGTAGCAAAGCATTTTACTGGAAGGAAAGACTTTAATAGGGGTTAGTGCATGACACTTTCAGATGTTAGCTTGCCATTCCAGTTCCGGATGCGATATATACTATCCAAACATGACTTATTATGTAATCACTATAAACAAATGTCAAAGACAGTAATTGTCACATGTTGGTTTATAGTTGTAAACCCCTGTTTTTAGCCATGGTCACTTTTATGTGGTTGTGTGAAGAGTAATCAATCCTCCAATGTTACAGAATCACATTGCAAATAATAACTGATGAACGAACATTCAAACCCAAAATATTGTGTATAAAGAAGTGTCTCATAACATTTAGCATGCAATGTAATGTGTTTTTAAATTATATTTATATTGCATGCTACTTACTATTTCGCGGGCTATACAAATTTGTGTACTACTCTGTAATCATTGATAAATCGTATTGAAAATATTGCATTTACGTCAAACTTTATTATTGTACAAAATATATTCTAAACGATTCAATTCAAATTACAACTTTATTTTTTTTATTTCAAATTTAACTAAAATTAAATACACCCATGAAATTTTTTCAACCGTGCATCGCACGGGTACTATAGTAGTTTATGTACAAATGTAATTTTCCATAAAATAAAAGTCGGTATTCATCGCACGGGAATACATCAATACAGTAGTTGGGCAGAAAGGAGGATAGTAGGATACGGATGTGTGTTCTTCATTACTGTTGACATAAGTTATATGGCGTAATAAAAGTACACGTCGTTGGCCTGGAATCAGCTCATCTTGTCCCCACCGCCTATCATTCTTTGCTGAGATATGTGATGATGCTGTCCTAAACCACCTCTTCCGGGTCGTCGTCGTTGTCATCTTTTCTCTATATTCCCACCTGGTACCTTCAAAATCTCAGTTTTTGCGAGTTTACATCTGTTTCTTGTTTTTTTTTCCCTTCAAAGTTGTCATTTTTAATTACTCATCATATACGGAGTATTTCTTAAGTTCATGTGTGTTGAATGGTCCCACCCTTAATTAACAGCAGCTTTGTGGGATTCTGGAATGTTACTGTGTTTAACTTTGGACTGGTGATTGTGGTTTTTGACTTTTTGGTAGTAATTGATGTTCACTGTGATTGGAAGCTTTCGTTTTTAGTGCACTAATGAATTGAGTTTGAACTTCTGGTTGTCTGTTTTTGAGATTCTCTGTAGTTCTGTTTCAGTGCAAAGTCCTTTGATTTCTATAAGTGGAGGGACAGTTTTACGGCAAGGGAAAGATTGGTTTGCTTGATTAGAATTTGGACGGGCCGTCCCCCAACTATGGGATGGTGTGGGTTCCGCTGAGAGGGGGGCTTGGGCCCGTCTTGTTCGGGAATTCTGAAGGGTATTCAAGGGTCGTCGTCATCCTTGGCCCAGCAGATATTGGAGGCTGCTGACCTAAAGGCACCCACTACCCCAAACAAGTCCTCATTTTTAACAACCCCTTGCAACATGTAATAACTGCAGCATGAGACTCAATTCTAAATCTATTTGGTGAATAAGGCTAGAAAACTATATGGTGTACAAATTCTCCGGGCTTGTTCCTGCTGGGTGTTTAAAAAACAAAAAAGAAGCTTTACACCGAAAAATATATCTATTGTGTGTCCTAAGTAAATATACAGAAGATCTCTTGATGCACACACATATCTTATACTCCCATACTTCCTGTCTCTAAGCAATCTAAGTAATATATATGGTTATCATTTAGTTAATTGTACTTTTTGTTCGTGATATAAAATCTAACGTAATATTAATATTTCTGTCTCTACTTTGTCTAATTGTCCATTCAGAACTATTAGCACCACGGTTTTTACTTTTGATGTTTGATGCAAATATGGTGGAGATGGGAAACATTTCGGAGTATAGAGATCGTCTTGACAAGACATTGTCATGCCATGATCTTGTAGACAAGGAGGTACTTGAGCGCCTCGTTAAGAATCAATTCTTAAACTCATCAAATTTTGAAGCAGCAGGTGTGTGTGCGGGTCTCTGGTATTATACTAATCAAAGAAATTACGCATCATGCAAAGAGTAAGGAGACAAACGTATGTTTGATTTGCAGTGTTTGTAGACAAAGTGGTAGAAAGAAGAACCAATGAGTTAGCCGCAACGCTAGGAATGTTGAGAAGTGCCTCGTTAGCCGAGGGAGATGAGTCAAAGCTTTCCAATGTTTCACATGGTGGTTGGAAAGTAAGCTAAAGTTATCCATATTCACTAGACAAGAGAAAAAGTGGAAAGAAAGAGTTAGAAGAAAGAGATGTATGATAAAAGGAGTGGATTGTTATGTTAGGGTTGGTAAGGTTGAATCAAGAGAGAAAGAAAATGGAATGAAATATGTAAAAAAAGAAAAAGCCAACAGGCTAAAAATTAGTAGAATGAGGTAAAAATAAAAATGTGAAACTAACTTCCTAAAAATGTAAAAATGTCTAACTTCCAATCAAAGAAAGAAAGAGGTTGTGGACACTACATTTTCTCTCTCATGTTATTCATACGTTAAACAATAGAAAGTGTCTTTCTTTTCTCTGTTCTTTCTTCCCTACTTTAGTGTGAGTTGGCTGTCATGCTGCCCCAAAGCAATGTTCTTTAGAGTGCCTATGTGAGGTTTGGGGTGGGGTTTCTTGAAGAAATTTGCCGCTTGTTCTGTAAATTCCTGATCTCCTCAAGTAGGGTCCATTTGGATGGAGGATTTCGGAGGGGAGGAATTTGGAGGGCTTAGGTTATTTATTTATTTGTTTGTTTGTTTGTTTGTTTGTTTGTTTGTTTGTTTGTTTGTTTGTTTGTTTGTTTGTTTGTTTGTTTGTTTGTTTGTTTGTTTGTTTGTTTGTTTGTTTGTTTGTTTGTTTGTTTGTTTGTTTGTTTGTTTGTTTGTTTGTTTGTTTGTTTGTTTGTTTGTTTGTTTGTTTGTTTGTTTGTTTGTTTGTTTGTTTGTTTGTTTGTTTGTTTGTTTGTTTGTTTGTTTGTTTGTTTGTTTGTTTGTTTGTTTGTTTGTTTGTTTGTTTGTTTGTTTGTTTGTTTGTTTGTTTGTTTGTTTGTTTGTTTGTTTGTTTGTTTGTTTGTTTGTTTGTTTGTTTGTTTGTTTGTTTGTTTGTTTGTTTGTTTGTTTGTTTGTTTGTTTGTTTGTTTGTTTGTTTGTTTGTTTGTTTGTTTGTTTGTTTGTTTGTTTGTTTGTTTGTTTGTTTGTTTGTTTGTTTGTTTGTTTGTTTGTTTGTTTGTTTGTTTGTTTGTTTGTTTGTTTGTTTGTTTGTTTGTTTGTTTGTTTGTTTGTTTGTTTGTTTGTTTGTTTGTTTGTTTGTTTGTTTGTTTGTTTGTTTGTTTGTTTGTTTGTTTGTTTGTTTGTTTGTTTGTTTGTTTGTTTGTTTGTTTGTTTGTTTGTTTGTTTGTTTGTTTGTTTGTTTGTTTGTTTGTTTGTTTGTTTGTTTGTTTGTTTGTTTGTTTGTTTGTTTGTTTGTTTGTTTGTTTGTTTGTTTGTTTGTTTGTTTGTTTGTTTGTTTGTTTGTTTGTTTGTTTGTTTGTTTGTTTGTTTGTTTGTTTGTTTGTTTGTTTGTTTGTTTGTTTGTTTGTTTGTTTGTTTGTTTGTTTGTTTGTTTGTTTGTTTGTTTGTTTGTTTGTTTGTTTGTTTGTTTGTTTGTTTGTTTGTTTGTTTGTTTGTTTGTTTGTTTGTTTGTTTGTTTGTTTGTTTGTTTGTTTGTTTGTTTGTTTGTTTGTTTGTTTGTTTGTTTGTTTGTTTGTTTGTTTGTTTGTTTGTTTGTTTGTTTGTTTGTTTGTTTGTTTGTTTGTTTGTTTGTTTATTTATTTATTTATTTATTTATTTATTTATTTATTTATTTATTTATTTATTTATTCGTCCGTCCGTTCATTCATTTTTTATTTATTCATTCATTTTTTATTTATTTATTTATTTATTTATTTATTTATTTATTTATTTATTTATTTATTTATTTATTTATTTATTTATTTATTTATTTATTTATTTATTTATTTATTTATTTATTTATTTATTTATTTATTTATTTATTTATTTATTTATTTATTTATTTATTTATTTATTTATTTATTTATTTATTTATTTATTTATTTATTTATTTATTTATTTATTTATTTATTTATTTATTTATTTATTTATTTATTTATTTATTTATTTATTTATTTATTTATTTATTTATTTATTTATTTATTTATTTATTTATTTATTTATTTATTTATTTATTTATTTATTTATTTATTTATTTATTTATTTATTTATTTATTTTTTATCCGTGATTAAACCTTAATGGATCACGGATCAAATTTTTCTGTAAATGAATAGAAAGTGCATGAAATTCTTTCAAATTTTTTAAAATCTAAAAACCGGGTATATATATATATATCAATATATAGGACTAGACCCTTCATCCAAATTTGACCTTTGGTATTTGGTAAATGAAGATATCTCAAGTTTGAACTTGTTGGAGTTCACAGATAAAGCAGGATGCAGAAGACTATCGTGTTATGTATAGAGAAGGAGCTGAAGGCACTCCTTTTCATACACTCTTAGTTGAGGGCTTTGTAGATGGTCCACTTGATGTTTGTAAGCTAAAACTACTCTGACTTCATTACTCTTAATTTCTTCCACACTTCGTGCTAAACTTCAATACAATTAACTGTTCAATTTCAGGTCTTTGCATCTCATGGGAAGCAGACCTGTACAAGAAATGGTATGGAATTATTTAAGGTTTTGATACATTATGCTCACATCACATTTGAACTCCCAAGTAAATTTTAAGACTTGGAGCCCCTTCTGTTTATGTGATCAGGTGGCCCCAAACTACAGTTCCAAGTTTTAAAGTGTCTTACTCTCAATGTTTACAGAAGGTCAGAGTTGGTGAACAAATATCTGTAGTAAGGTATGCCTCTATAGTTATGTAGATACATTCTTTCTGGGGGTACTGTAATTCATTATATGACCTTAAATTTTATGATGTGAATCTACTTTGGAAGAAAGGATGAAGCTTCCATGGCCACTATCGACAAGGGAGGCTCTTATACACTTCTTTGAATTCAACTATTTTCAAGAAGATCTCACAGTTGTGCTCCTCAATTCGGTAAAAACAATGAATTTATACATGCAAATGTAATTGAGTTCTTATATATAATGTGAACATTCATAGTTGTACTTTGTTCGAGCAGATATCAGACTTTAAGAATGTTGAGTACAGTAGTCATGGAATCTGCAGAGATGGAGTGACTGATGCAGATGATGTTGTGAGGATTGATGTGGTGGGAGGCTTTGCTATGCAGAAAGTTTCTACTAACCGAAGCTACTTCCGGTTAGGTGTCCTGACTCCTGCTTACCTAGAGATAAAATCATAAAATGTAGTCACACATAGTTGTACAGTTTTACAACCTGAGCAGTTAGTCATATTGCTGCTTTGAAATTTTACAGCAGTATTGCCAACATGGATATCAAATTGGATTTTGTCCCTCCAGCATTAATCAATTTTTTTTCAAGGCAGCTCATTGGTAGTGGATTCAAGCTTTATAAGAAGGTGTGTCCCAATTTTTAACTTATAATACTGTTTTCCAAATTGTTCCTGCTTAATCCTTCATAAGCCGAGGTCCCGGTCTCACACCCGGATGCTTATTCTATGCACTTATGTATATGCCACGAGCAGAATTTAGGCCTCATTCTGTCGCTATAATTGGCTTATTCTATTATGAGCAGAATGCATAGCTTTTCACTTAGAGCCCTTTTGGTTGTTTACACATTAAAATTTCAAAAGAAATGTATATCACATTCCCATATTGATCTAGTTCAAACATAACTATTTGATCACATTTTTTATGTACTTAAATAATAATAAAAATCCCTGTATTTTGTAATAAATCTAATCTTAGACATAGTTCGCACATTTCATTTAAATCACATGTTGTACCTTATGTCTAGATGGTCTATCAAGACCTCTTCAACTCATTATTATCATTACCAAGTTATATACTAGTACCTATTAAATGGGTCTATTCTAAATCCCACAATTATAAGTGTAATATTTTTGTTGTGAATAATAATTAATAGCACTAGATTAGTTTATATTTAGAAAAATATAAATACAATAGTTTTTTAGTCGTATCACCCGTATGAATACAATAATTTTGATTTATACTATATCTAAGTGAGAAAGATAAGTATTATTTGTACTTCATAAACATTTTCATTAGGAATGGAAATGTGAAAGTAATTTTATTTTTTTACTTTTGGGTAACTTATTGAACCAAAAAGTTATTGGGGGGCATATAATACAAATTATTGGGGGACAAATTTATTCTATTTGAAATTAATTACTTGAATTCATATATATTTATTCTATTAAAGGAAAAGCTATTGGGGCACGTGCCCCACTATTAACAAAGTAGATTACCCCCGGGCCCCGGGAACTAATCACTTTGCACATAAAATAAAAGCACATCATTTGGTTATGTTTAATTAACTCTTTTATGTTTTTTCTATGTTTTTATGTCATTTTTATCTTCTATCTTTCTTATATTCTTTTATCTTTTTATTTTTAATCTATTTATGTTTCTATGTTATTTATACTTATCTTTATCTTGACCATTATATCTTACATTTTTTTTACTTTTCTTATCTTCTCCTTTTGTCTCTAATATCTCCTTTTCATGTTAGCCGACCCCAAAATCTTTTGGGGAATAAGACTTGGATGTTGTTGTTGTTTGTTTGGAAAAATAAGTAATGTTCTTAGAAAAAGACTACATAGCTCTTTCTTGTGTGCAGGGGAGCATATTTTTTTTATCAACAATACACGGTGCATGGGAAGCAATGGTGTGAAAATAATAATCTTCCTTTTCTAGTTCTATTCTCAATCAACAGAAAACCCTTAAAAATTGATGCATTTAATTGACTCAAGTTCTGCAATCATCCCACAACCTCAATTTCTACACACAAAAACATCTCAAAATAAATACATGCCATTAAATTAAAAAAGAAAACCAGAAGTTTGCCTCTTGGAATGTGCAACTGGAGAATATTTTTGATGATGTGGTCGACGATTTCTTCTTGTTTATAGGAGAGGAAACTAGTTAAAGGTTGCCGCTAAGTGTTTCTTTTGCCGCTACACTCAAGTCTTCAAAATTAGGACTGAATCGTACTCCCTCCGTAACATTCATATTTTCCCACTTTCCTTTTTTGGATGTAACATTCATATCTTCTCATTTCTAAATCTTCCCATCATACCCTCAATAATTTTAAAAATAATACACTATTACACCTACTTTTTTGGATTTATCCTTCATTCCATCACATTATTTCACTATCTTCCCATCATACCCTCAATAATTTATATCTCCTTTCACTATTCTTAATCTACCTACTTTTCAAATGGGAACATATATATGTTACGGAGGGAGTAAAAGTTTAAATCAATGTATTTAAATTGACTATATAAAGTAGTCAGCCCATGCAAATTCGACGTGATTTTCACTATGGGTCATTCAGAAACAGTTTTTGTGTGCTTTAGTACAAGGGTAAGGCTGCGTACATCCGACCCCCCTTACCCCACCATAGGTGGGAGCCTTTGCGGCACTGGGGTAATAATAAATGATGTGAAGTGTTTTGAAAAAGTGTCCTATAGTTTACATCAAATAATTAAAAGAAACGGTGCAAAATATATACTTCCCTGCAAAATATATACTTCCTTGCACTGTACATGTAAAGTGTTTACTTTACATCATACCAAATGGGCCGTTAGTTAGATGAAATAGATTTTGTTTACCGTTTTTCCATTCAGAAAAATCAGCAGATTTAACCACTTCATCCCTTGTTAAATGTTGGCCCTACTCATAAATCATCACTTTTTTACCACTAAAGCTTATCCTCATATGCAATTTTTGAAGGAAGTGGCTTCTGTTTCCATTGGTGATGAAGACTTTAGCAAGGCTTTAAAGGGTCTGCAGTACAACCGAATCCGTGAGGCTCTTTATTCAGATAGTAAATCTAATGGGGATTTTGAAGTGCAAGACCGGGACAAAAACAATGATTCACAAACAAATGTAACGAATGAACATGAAGTCCAGTGCGAGAAGATTTGTGGTGAGATCGAGGAAAATAATGAGGAAGACAATGGAGAAGCAAGGGCTGTTAATAAGTGCTATCAGAAACAAGATTCCCCTAGGAAGAATCAAATCACAGAGGAAGTCTCCATCTCTGAAATCAAGAAAGTGGGCATTAGCCCCGAGGTTCAGCAAGCCCTAGCAACATTAGAAAAGGCCATTTCTTTCATTCGTAACTCAAATACTATCAGATCTACAATACAAGCTAACATAGAAAACTCACAAGGTAGTGATGAAACAAAAGATTCTAAGTTTTCTAGAAAGGAATCCACAGAAATTACTGCCTCACCTGAACATAGGATCAACTCCGGCAATCATATTTCCAGGTAGTCAAGTTTATTCAACAGCTTTGTTTTCTTGGAATATCTTAGGATGCATTACAAGTTTTTCACTCCCTTGGCTACAAAATTGCCCATTAGCCTCAGGATTTTTTTCACAAATTATACCTTGGTATTTTCTTACAATGTGTATGCCAAGTACATTCCAATACCTGGCATCGTTTTATGTTAAAAAATCTATAGCTTCTTCTTGTTCACAATTGGTCGGGCCAGCTCTTGTCATTTTTTCTGCTTTCTTCTTCTTTGTTCTTCAATTCTCTTCCTCTTCTCAATCAAAATACTTATCATTCAATAGCGTTTTTGCTCTTCTTTGTCTTCAAGTTAAATTACGAATAATCTAGGTTTTCTTCTTCTTTATCATTTCATAACTAAGTTTTATCAATCTAAAATAATTAAAAAAAAAACTTGAAGTTTTATTGGCAAGTTTGCAACTCTTCTGTGAGCTCTACTTTATATTTTTTTTAATTCATGTGATTTATATTTTAAATTCAATAAAGTTCTTCATGTTCCATAAGTTACATAAAACAATTACAGTTTTATTTTTCATACGTAATTTACACTAAACATATAACTTTTGTATAATATACAAAAGAAAGATTATACTTACATATTTTTAACACATTTTTTACATTATTTTGTATAATCATTTACACTAAAAATATGATTTTGGTATCAACAAGCAGTATAATGTTTAAACAAAAATGTATCTGATTTTCATATTTGAGTAGTCAAAGTCGTGAGGCGCGCGTGAAGCGCTAGGGGCCTTCTAGCGCCTGAGGCGCAAGGCGCAAAAAAGCGCACGCCTCACTCGGGTGAAGCGCATTACCTATATAAAATTACATATAATATTCTGTAATTACCAAATATGATGTATGTAACATCATATTGAACCAAATGCATAAAAAACCTAGGATTCAGCAAAATAAAGTTATGATTCACAAAAATAAAAGTCCAAATTCAGAATTCATGGCTTAAAACTTAAACTAAAACTAACAGACACTTGTGAAGGACTAATCGTCATTAAAAGAGGAGTCGGTTTGTTCGCCATTATCTGATTTATACTCCCCACCGTCCTCTTCAATTTCTCCCTCACTTTCCTCATCCACAAGCCTACAAGTAGTACTTGAACTCGCATTTGTGGAGTGCTTTCTAGTATATCTTGTTGGTTCTTCTGCTCCCGTTGCTCTACTCACAGCACCCCACGTCAAGCCACCACCTTCTTCATCACTGAAAACCAAGTCATCTGCTGCACTTTCATTCAAGTTTCCAGCCAACCACTCATTGCAATCATCGATGTTATCTAAAGCAATTGGATCTGTGATATCTTTAGAGTCAAAACGAGCTTTCAAAGTTGCATTGTACTTCACAAATACTAAATCATTTAGCTTCTTCATTCCTAGCTTGTTCCTTCTCTTTGTGTGAATCTAGAACATAAAGAAATATACATTACTTCTTATAAATGTTTAAAACGCTCGTGAAAGTCGCAAGTTTAAAACTTACTTGTTCAAACACGCTCCAATTGCGTTCGCAGCCTGAAGAACTACAAGTGAGGCTAAGAACTCTCATTGCTAGCTTTTGTAAGCCAGGAGTTGTGCTTCCATACAAGCGCCACCATTCAGCTGCATTTCTCACATGCAAAAAGAAATGCATAAGAGTGCAGGATTAAATAAAGTATACTGCAGAATTAGGAGTGCAGAATTCAAGAGTGCAGAATCTACTGCCTACTGCATTAAGCATAAGAGTGCAGTAACTATCTCTTGTCAATATTACCTGGTGATTTAGTCTTTCTTGTCAATATTGCCAAATTGATTCCAAAAAGGCCTTCAGCTCTTGTATATTTGGACAACTCATCAATAATCACAAGTTGCTCGCTCTGTTGTGGAACTAACTTTGCAATACACGCATAGAGTCCAGTTATGAGCTCATTATTGAATTCAACTTGAGCATCATCATAGAAACAGGCTGGATTGAGGTAATGACCAGCCGCGTGTAATGGATGATGGAGTTGGTCTTCCCATCTTGTATCAATGATCTGGAAAGTAGCTTTGTAGTTCTCTTCTCTTCCATTGAAAGCCTTTATTATAGCTTCTTTGGCTCTGTCCATCGCTTCGTATATGTATCCCATTGCCGGCTTCCTCTCATTGTCTACGAGTCGAAGAACTTTCACAAGAGGACCCATAAGTTTGAGTACGTAATATGCATTATCCCAAAAGGTAGGCATTAGCATACTGTTTTCAACTTCTTTCCCACCTATCTCTTTAGCCCACTTACTGGAATTCCAGTCACTCTTAGAGAACAAAGCCCGAAGATTCATTTTTTGCTTATAAATGCTCTTTAAAGTGAGGTAGCATGTGCAGAATCTTGTCTTCCCTGGTCTTATTAGATTTCTCTGCCCCGTATACCTCCTCATTAAATTCAATAATCCCGTTCGATTATAAATAAAGTTAGTCACACTCATAACCCGTTTTAAGGTCTTTGAAACCAAAGGCAACTTCCCAATGTGCACCACACGGTGTCCAATATATGTTTGGCCTCTTGACTTCTAATAACTTGCCACCTAACTTAAAATTAGTACCATTATCGGTAACAACTTGCACAATGTTTGCTTCCCCAACAAATTCAACAAATTCATCCAATAGCTCCATTACCTTTGGACCGGTTTTTGAGTATGCAGAGGCATCCACAGATTTGATAAACACACAACCAGCCAAAGAATGAACCAAAAAGTTAACAATGCACAGACCTGTGGTGCTACTCCAGCCATCTGCCATTATTGAGCAGCCATGTTTGACCCATATAGCTCTATGCTCAGCTATCATGGTTTGCATGTTAGCAACTGATTTCTTCAAACATGTGACCCGCACTTCATGGTAGCTAGGGGGCTTCAGATTAGGACCATATTGTCCTATTGCCTCGATAGCACATTTAAAAGAATGGGACCGGGCAACATTGAAAGCAAGCCCATTCTCGTAAAAACAGTCTGATATATATTGTATAGCTATTGCTCTTCTTTCTTTATCCAACTTCTCATCGATCTTCAATTGCTTCAATCTTCCTTGCTTTCGCAGCTCCACTATTGTTTCTGGTTTCTTGTAGATAAAAGAGTCCATAGGACCTTTTACTTTTCCCTTCTTTGAAGATGCTTTGGTCTGCTGCACATGACAAGGTCTTTTTAGCTTACCTCTAGGATCTTTCTGCAGCTCCTCAGGTTCACTGTCATCATCCATCAAAATCTGGACGTTCTGGTAGTTTGTCATAATTGATCTTACCATCCTTTTTTGATTGCATATATTCCCTAAGCATCTTTTTCACATCTTCTGGGCATTTCAAGCAAGCCGTCGCATTTCTATCCCCTCCTATTTGATGAAGCTTTGCTCGGTAAATCCCTCCATTAGTTACTTTTCCACAGTAAATGCAGGTAACACTATTACGATCTTTTTCATTAACCAAGAAGTTGTGTTTCCAAGCTGGATCATTTTTTGTAGACTTTTCACTTTCAGCACCACCCACAGAACTTGTTCCACCTTCCATATCCTAGAAAAGCACAAAGCAGTGAACATATATTAAAAAAATCACAAAGCAGAGAGTACTATGAATATTATATGCATGCTATTGATGTTAATATACAAAAAAATCACAACGCAGAATAATATATACAGTGAGTTTGAAGCACTGCTTTGCTGCATTCTTGCATTAGCAAAAAGTGTTTAACTTGATTGTTAAACACTTTGTGTTTTTCTGTCAAACAGTTATTATATAAGTCTTATATATACAGTTATTACATTTTGAAGCAAAAGTGCTTATCCAGAATATAAGTCTATGAGTATTATATACATACTATTGATAGTAATATACAAAAAAAAAAACAGAGTACTATGAGTATTATATACATGGTAATATACTAAAAGTCTAAAACAACACAAAGCAGAGTACCATGAGTATTATATACAAAGTAATATACTAAAAAATCCCAAAGCAGGGTACTATGAGACTTTGAGTATTATATACGTACTAATATACTAAAAATTCACAAACCAGAGTACATATATTTAAGTACTGAGTATTACATTTAAGTACTGAGTATTACATACTAATATTACATATTTACACTAATAAACATTAACATACTGGAATATGATATTTGTATAAAGAGGACTACATGATAAAAAGAACATACCTTGTTTAGCTCCAGGGAGAGCTGAGTATGCTTCAGATGATGAAAGAAGCTGAAAGAACTGGCTGATGTAGAGCTTAGTGTCGAGTGAGGAAAGCCAGGAGAGTGAAGAGCGAGGATGGCGAGCGATGATAGCTGAAGTGTCTTGCGCCAGTTTTACCTTTTTACTCTTAGGTTCACGTAGTTTTAAGTGGGTTTACCCTGTTTTTTCATGGACTGAGTGCTATTAAACATATGGGCTAATTGCTTTTCAAAGTTCTAAACATAAAAAAGGCTGTAAGCCTTTTCCGTCTCAGGCGACTAAAGCGTGCGCCTTATAGCGCTTCAGCGCTTCCTGCGCTTATGCGCTTTTACTGCGCTTGAGGGGGGAAGCTGCGCTTCTACGATTCTAAGGCACTGGGGGTGATTCTCGCTGCGCCTTGTGCGCCTAGGCGCTGAAGCGCGCGCTTTTGACTACCTTGGCACACACGGTTTACATTTTGTATAGTCATTTACATCAATCACTTAAATTTTGATAAATAATACGGAGTATAAAATTTACAAGTTAATTACATATTTAAAACATTCAGAATATAATTTGTCACATTTTCACTAAATATACACTATTTATAATAATATCTCTCACACATTGTTTCACATTGTTTATACATATTTACATCTTGTATGATGACATTTACATACAATATAGAGCATGAGTTACACAAAGGATGACATGAATTACATCAAACATTGTTATACTATGATACTCTCTATTACACAAAATTTACTCACATTTACATCATTTCTAGTGCAAGGGAGTACACATGGATTTTTTTGATGAAAAATGCTCTTTGTACACGGTAGTTTGTACACACCATTGTACACGCCAGTCAAATTGTATGCGCAAAGGCAATTTGATCGGCGTTTTATGAAGACAAAATCGGTTAAACTGTCATTGTCAGAGACAATGAAACACTTCTTTTGTACACAAAAACAATTTAACCGGCGTGTACAAAAGAAGTGCTTCATTGTCTGTGACATAGACAGTTTGACCGATTTTGTCTGTGTGAAAATCGGTTTTCTTTATAAAACGTTGGTCTGTGCATTAACAATTTGACTGACATGTACAATGTCGTGTACACAAAGCAGGACTGTTTTTGGATTCCCGAAAGTGTTAGGAATAGGGAATAAGGTACTGCGGTACTTGCTGCGACAGTTTTAGTCATACTTTTATTTTAAGTTTTCTTTAGTAATATTCTTGGAGAGATTTCCACAAATAGGATGATAACATGCTTATTTTTCAAAAATATGACTTAATGTTTAAAATTCCATAAATAAGACTTATTATTTGCTATTGGACAAAAATACCCTTATCGCTGCCGGTGTTCTGCTGCTACGTAGACTGCCCTAGTTGTGTTAGAGGACTAGGAGACAATTAATTATATTAAATTATTAATTAATTACGGAGTATATATTAAGGGCAGAAATGTAATGTTAAGGCCTATTTAAAAAAACAAAACATGTGGTCATATTTTTGGAACGACTAGTCTTATGTAGAGCAATTTTATCGGTGGAACTATAATAAAAAACATGATTATGAACAGTTCTCTAAAATAAATCTATTTGAGTTTTACATCTTTTATGTTCCCCACGCTTTAATTCTCCTTTGCTTTTCTTTCCCTGTTATTTTTTGAGTTTCAAACAACCCCTGAGTTGGTTTGATTATTCTTTTGTAGGCATACAGGTTCCATTTCGCCCCCAAGGGAAACTAACCATAATAAGATAGCACCAGTCTCATCACCAAGTGCATATATTGCCAATTCTAGTGAGCTTCATTGTGCTGATTCACATTCCTTGGGAGATCAGAAAGTAGCTGGAATGCCTTTACAGAACATAATAATGGAGGATAATAACCTGAACTCTACTAATGTAAATTCCATCACCAAAGAAGATATGTCTGGTAGAAGAAAATCTAGAGAGCAGAGATACTGCTGCTGTACTTTACTTTCTATAAAGCAGATTTCAACTTAAGAGATTAGAAATTCTGTTTTTTAATAACAATAAAATCTTTCACGGGCAAAATGCATGTAAGATGTATCTATTCTGAGCATTGTAGGAATGTGGCAGGCAGGTCCTAGACAGAAACCCTGGAACCTGTGAGCAGGCTGTCCAATACGGAGAATCCTTCGGCCCTTGACTTTGTCGGAGCCTTATGTAATTGGTTTTGAATTGTGTGATACTATTGATGAAGTTAAAGCCTCTATGTATACTAGTCACAGACTAAATACGGGCCTAATATACGGGAGTAGAATATTGCTAATAGATATACTATTGAAAATGAATATGGCACACACTCATGGAAGTACATACAAGAACCAATGCACAGATTACAACAACATTGATTATAAGATTCATTACTAAAATATCATATCGATAATGTCCTCATCCTTTTAAGATCCGACTTTTTCATTAACAGGTGTTTTGCCAAACTTTGTTTCCCTTCCCTGTTGAGACCATAAAAAACTGTTTTAAAGTTTACTGCACTAGGGGCAATCCCGGTGTTCATCATTTCAGTAATTAGCTGAAAGGCTTCTTCAGACTTACCTACTCTACAGAGACAAGATAAGAAGATTGAATATGTCTTAAAATCAGGAAACGGGCCGTTCTGTTTTATATGCTGAAAAACACTCCATGCATCAGCAACCTTCCCCAAGTTTGTGTAGCCGCGTAAGAGTGCAGAGTAAGTGACAAGTGTTGGTTCACAGCCAGACTCTTTCATCTCCTCAAGACACCCCAACACCTTTTCTATTTGTTTCTCCTTGAAGTAGTAGACTATCAAAGATGTATATGTATGTACAGTGGGGTGGACGCCAATCTGTTTCATAGATTCAATTTTTGCGAATGCTGCTTTTATAGATCCCCTTTGCAGTAATCCGTGAATTAGACTCCCATATGTGTACTTGGCCAGAGTTTGCTGCTCATCATCATCATCAACTTCAGAAATCAATTCAAAAGCCTCTTGTAACCTTCCAACCCGACAAAGGGACCGAATATACAAAGAATAACTCAAAGGAACAGTGAAACCAGTTTTTTGTAAAGATTCAACACAGCTTCTGGCATCATTTGATTTTCCAACTTCACATAAACAACCTAAGTAGGCTTCAGCTAGCTCTTTATCAGGGATGCAACCCCTTTCAATCATCTCATTGAATAAGTTTACTGCTTCATTGACGTTCCTACCCTTCTTTTCACACAGGCATAGAATCAAAAACTTAAATGTACTTTCGGTAGGGTTATAGCCTCTCTCTTTCATGTCTCGAAAAGTTTGGAGAGCAATGTGGGTGAGGCCTGTTCGTCCATATTGCATTATCATGATCGTCCATGTATCACATGTTATCGAGCACCCTTTTCTCCTCATTTCATAAAATAAGCTTCTCATCTGTTTAAAGTCCTTCCCCTGTCCTGCGATCTTAATGGCCATGTTGTAGGACCCTGTTGTGTGTCTGTAACCAGTACGGTTCTCAACCCATGAGAAGAACTGTAAAGCCATACCAGCATGCAGTTTGGAGTTATGCAGAATTTCAGTAACAACTTCTGGTGTAAACTGTATACTGCACTTTTCCAGTTGCTCTTTTATGAACCACCAATCCATGGAAGATGACAATATTCGACTGATCCAGCAAGCATCATAGTGATGATCTGAAGACTCGCCCTCTGGTTTTGCTGCATTCGGTTCGGCATTCCCTTCAAGATGGATTTCACGGTTTCCATTAAGCTTATTCTTTTCTCCTTTCATCTTCAAATGAGATATGACATGTTGAATAACATCATCTCCAGGTTCGAGTTTTGAAGCTTCTTCTAATTCCTTCAAGAGTTTCAGAATATCACCATTGGGGCCAGAAACTTTGATAAGCTCCTTGACTAAAATGGCATAAAATTTCTTGCTGGGTTTAACGCCTTTATCCTTCATCTCCTTGAATGCTCCAAACGCTTCAGATATGCAGTTTTGACGTATGTACCCTGTAATGACAGCAGTCATAGCTACACAATCTAAACCAATCCCTCTATCCATCATCTCTTGATACAGTTCCACAGCTTTCTGAGATTCATTCACCCTGAAAAAGTGCTTAATCAAAGTAGTATAGGTAGCAAGTGAGGGCAGATGTCCCAAATCTTTAACCTTTCGCATCAGATCAAGTGCTTTTGGAAATTCATTTCTCCTCAAGTATTCATGAAGTACGATATCGTAAAGATTCCTATTTCCTGCATTTCTTTTCTTTGTAATATCAACAATCTCCAGTGCGTCATTAATCCTGCCTACCTTGCAAAGCCCTTTCACTAATGTCCCAAAATCTTCAGACTCAAGGTTTACATTCTTATTCATCATTTCACGAATCAATTCTAGAGCTTCTCTTATCCTACCTGAAACACAGAGGCTCTTTAGCATCAAACCATAGACTCCATGTTCTGATACTTCTAAAGTTCTGATCATATCATTAATGATCTTGTGAGCTTCAACAATATCTCCAAAAGCTGCCAGGCATTTTAGTAAATTTTTATACGAGCGCTCATCCAAGAACATGCCTTCATGTTTCATTTCCTTGTAGAACTCAAATGCAACGTCTGCCTTTCCAGCGTTGCATAGGGCATTGAGCATGACTTTATAAGACAGTAGATCTGGTTTCGGGCCATGTTTCTTCATTCTTTCAAAGATTGAAAGGGCTTTGCCAATTGATTTTGTGTTCCCACAATGGGAAATAACAATGCTCCATGTCTTAATATTTTTCTCACATGAGTTCTTTACCATTTCCTCCAAAAGTGCATCAACCAGACCAGAATCCTTTGCCTCTGCCGCCATGTAGATCATCACATTGTAAGTCAGGGTGTTGTGACGAAACGCTTTTACTGATCTCACCCAGTTGAAGAACCTGAAAGCTAAATAAGGAACCTTGAAACACCTCTTCAGAACCTTCTCAACTATCTCCTCGTTATACTCTAAACATGCATTCTTCAACCGCTCTTCCATTGACACAGCTACATTTTCATCCCTAACTATTGCAGTAATTTTATGAACAATAGAGCTAATATCTGACTCACTCAAGGTCCCCGTTAGCTTATTGTTTGAGGAGAGTGATATTTCCTTTTCGTTGGCATTTTCACAAGCATCGAGTGTGCAAGGCGTTTTTCCTACAGCGTTAGCTACAATCTCTGGATGAGTAGTTCCAGGTAATGCAGACTCAGATTGTTTTTCGGCGCTTATTGTATTCTCGGAACCTAAAATGTCACAGATTTCGTTGAAGAGTGAGTTAAGATTCTGAGCTTCACCCACTCTGGTTTTCTTGGTTTTATGCACCTTACATTGCTTGGTGGCGGAGGAAGTTGAAACTTGTAACTTTGTATGAAATTTGGACATATTATTAGTGCTGGAAGTCATAGTTGAGAGCACAACCTTAGACAATAACCTGGAAAAAAACATATTTTGTGCACTGGAATTAAAAGAATTGTAGTGGTGCCGGCTTCACATTCAGAATACAGATTGGAAGAAACTCCGTAGAAAGATATTCTGCAGAATATAATTTTAATTTTGCAAATCTTGCACAGAAAAATAGCAATTTTAGTACCTGGCTCTTTATCGGTCCGTGGACTACAGATGTTTTTAGTTTTTTACTTGTTCATTTTCTGTCGCACGCCAAATCAATTGGATTTGAAGTTCATATCAGAACACATCAGAGTTAAACACAACAGATAAGATTAGACTTTCATATTTATAAAATACAGTTCAGATATTTTCTATACCAAATCTGTTCAAATCAGATCATAATTAAATAGACTAGGCCAGACCAGCAAATTTCAGTCCAATTAGAAACATCCTAGTTGATTATTTTCAATTTCTAGGTAAATAATTGTCCTATTTGATAGGGGTGGACGCGGTCCGGAACGGTCCGGTAAACTAGTAAAACCCGTAATGTATCCGTTAGGTTTGTAACGGTACGGTTTCAAGGATGGAATTGTTCGGTACCATGCCGTTTCGGAACGGTACGATACAATGTCAAACACATGCTAAAAAATTTGAACAAATCTTGCAATTGGTAGATATCTTCACACCAACCAACTCACATAAAATGTCAATATAAATACAAGAAATTGCATATGTAGTACTAAAGTTCACAAATACACAAATAGTGCAACACAACTAAAAAAAATATAGCAAAATGATGACGCACGAGATAAATATCATCTTTAATTTATTTACTAAGTTCATGTGAAAATATAAAAAAGAATATCATCAAATTGTTGAATATAATTGAAATCTTCAATGTTCTTTTTCTTCGTTCTAGGTTAAATATTTTTCTGTAGTTCTAATTTAATTTATAGTTAAAACTTGAGAGCTAAGATATAAATCATATTAATTAAATTGTAAAATTGTGCAAACATCATATATACTACAAAAAGTCATGTACATAAACATTACGTAGTACTAGCAAACCATTACTAGAAATGAATAGTCCTTAATAATTTCTAAAATGTTAATATTCTTTCAATACATATCAAAATATTACATAAATTATCTAAAAATAAAAATAACAATATATAATATAAACACACACATTTAGCTGGTTTAGGAACACATGAATACATACTTGGGCTATAAAATTATTTATCTATAAAAGAGATCTATTGGTTTAGAATGGTTCGGTCCGGTATTTTTCTGTTCTCAAAATCTAGGACCGGTCTCGTACCCGTTTCAAACGGTCCGGTTTCGGTACGGGACGAAAATCTATAGAACCGTTTAAATACACGGTATTCGGTTAGGTACCATTACGGGACGGCTCGGTACCGGTTCGGTTCGGGTTTTATGCCCACTCCTACTATTATTTGACTTTAGAATCTGGGCCGCGTATAGTAGAAGACGAAAGAATAAATCAACGAAAATCTTTGGAGAAAGGAACAAAAAATAATAAAGAATTGATGTAAGTAAAGAGTTAATGTCCACATGAATCCACAATTTTATAGTTCAGTAAAAATGAAAGGAAATTTGAAAACATTTAAACTTTTAAAATTTGTCATTAATCTTAGATAAAATGCAGAAATTATCTCAAATAAATATGAGTAAACATAAATATAACTGCATAAATAAGACTCAAAGTTTTTTAATCTCTAAATAGAACTAAACAATGCCTTTCTACCCATAGTATGATTAATTATATAATTAATTGCTCATATTCTCTGGCATAACCAAAACCAGTCTGTTGGGGTGGATGACGGAAGACAAGCAGCGGTAGACCACAAGGGGATCCTGTCAGATCGATTGCAGTGATCTGGGAGAAATTCAGGGGACTAACGACATGTGGCAAGCAACAGACTAGTAGTAGACTTGTAGGGGTATTTTGTCCAAATGCACATAAAAAAGATAAAATAAAAAGAGATGAATACACATAAAAATGATACTACCTCCATCCCATTTATATTGTCCCGAAAGAGGGTGGCACGATTATTAAGAAAAGTGGGTTTGTGTGGTTGATATTAATTGATAAAGTAAGAATAAAGTAAGAATGATTTAGAGCCACACAAATTTTGCCAAATATGGTATGAGACAATTTAAGTGGGACTTCCCGAAAAGGTAAAACGAGACAATATAAATGGGATGGAAGGAGTAAATAAAAAGGATAAAAATAATATTTATATATATAAGGATAAAAAGATAAAAAAAACAAGAAAAAAGATGAGAGGAAAAGATGATACGAGATCACCCTCCACACAAATATCCGCCATCCAGTTTGTTCTCTCCAAAATCATACCCTCATCCAACCGAAGAAGAATCATATTACTTCTGACTCCCCTAACCCACGTTTGTTTGGGCTTTCCTATTCCTCTTTTGTGTGCCTCTTTTCCACCCATGCCAACTAGTTTGAGAGGTGTATTATTCAAAAACAAAACAAACCCTTATCCTTATTTTCAGTTATTTGTGAAAATTTGCATTACTTTTTCAAGAAAAAAATAATTTTAAATAATACCAACTATCATCCATGAATCAATAATAATACAAACTTCGAAAATGACTTTTAATAATACCAACTATTTGAATGTAAAACAAAAATAATATGGAGTCATTCTTTGACAAAAAATTTGATCATTTAAGGCATCAAAAGCTAATGACAATTCATCAAATAAATGATATTCAGAAATATATTCACTTATTAGATATTTTGATACAAGTTTTTTGATGAGTTAAATGGTTGAATTTTTAGTAAAAAAATGCTTTATATCACTTTTGGTCTATATTTAAATAGTTGGTATTATTAAAACTTATTTTCAAAGTACATACTACCGCCGTCCCAAATTGATTTGCAAATTTGACTTCTCTTGGTCAAACAGTTTTATTTTATTCATTTAATTAGGATGTCAATTTTTAATTATATTTTAATTTGAAGTTTATAACTTTGAAGAGATTTTAATGTACTTTATGAATATGTAAATTTTAATTATTAAAAATTGAATTAATTATCCATAAGGAGCATTGACTTTTATTATTGGTTGATCAAAAAATGTTGACTTTGTAAAACAAATTGAGACGGAGGAAGTATTATTTTTGGTTCACGCAAGATAGTTTGTACTCCGTGTTACTTAAAGTTATTTTCTCCTTTTTCAATTCCCATTTCACATTCCAAACGCATACCTAGATTATAACCTTTGAGTTTTCTACAAGACTCCAGAGAAATGCGGAGTGTATATATATCCGGTAGTTTTCATGAATAGGCCAACAACAGGCAATAGATATGGGTTGGGTTTGGCAAGACGATGAGGACGATTCTCACAGCTCACGTGACGTCTCCGGCTATGATATCGACAACGATTCCGTTAACCCTAGCGGGTCAAACGCGAGAGACGGCGGTAAATGCGCCACCCGGAAAGTCGTAAGGACGCAGTGCCGAACAGAGGAGTCCGAACCTGGTAAGTTCATCCGGAAGTGCGAGAAGACAGAGCAGATATTCAAGGACTGCGTTGGAAGGTGAGAAACCTACATACTCTGTATGAGGAAAAAAAGAACGGAAGTTCTCTATCCTTCTTGTTTATATTTGTCGAAAATTGAATTCACTAGGATCAAATCGAAACTCTGGTTATTTTGGTTATTTTAGATTTCTGGTGATTATTTTTATGATTTCTGTGAGAGTTAATTTGATTTGTACTCTTTGTGCATTGTCTGCTAGAAGATACGCATACCCAAAACAAGCACTGCATCTCTAAGAAATACAATAACCGTTGAAGGATCTTCATGTATATATAGGTACAATTAGGTCAGTGAAACACGGAATCTCTAATAGATTTATGGAATCTAAGAGGTACACGGATAGCTGGATACTTGGCAGGACATGTGAATTGTGATATGATGTAAATAGCCGCTCATTAAGGAGCTTATTGGTTGGTCTCCTTATGTCATATCTAAGTGGAAAATATAATACCAAAAATGATGTTTGTACTTTGTACACACTCTTATACCCACTTTTGTACCCATCTATGTTTGTGAAGTGTTTTTGTTTTGTTTGTGAACCCGATTCAAACAAAATATTGTCTTTGAACTGGGTTCCCAGACAAAAAAAGCACTTCACATGGTGGGCATAAGGTGGGTATAAGAATGGGTACATCAAACATTGTTGATATAATACGGAGTAACACATTAAAAGCTCGTATGGTAAATTGGCTAAAGTGGTTGTCTATGTTCAAAGGTTTGGCTGAAGTGGTTGGATTGGCCGATTCTGTTGAATTATTAAAAAATTATAATGAGTACTACATATTTTAGATGTATTTTATTAATAAAATAAAGAAAACTTTATCTAATAAATAGTTAAAGTTGTCCTCTATAGTAACTTCATCCAATCTAGCCATAAAAGTAACTTCAACCTTAGTTATTTTGATTATTAAACAACTCAGAGCGTGAAATAAAAAGTTATGTGTTTTGTGAAAAAGTTGACTCATAAGGCCGGCAAACCAAAAAACAGGATTACCAAACGGCTCTAGACCTTGGGTTGAATTTTGATAACATTTGGAAAGACATGGCTGGATGCAGGGACTGTATAGTAGTACGGGTTTAGATATTGATGATTGATAGGCTGAAGATAGCTTCATCTTGCAACTTGCTCAATGCCCTAAGCGAAGCAAGTAAGCAACCTGCTGAGTGGGCTTATAGTATAATATGATGTACTTTGTTGGTAGCTTGAAGCAACATAATGGGGCTACTTAAGCAGTTAAGCCGTTGGTGTGGAGGATAACAAGAATCAGAGACCTTGTACAGTAATTAACATGTAGGCATTGTTGTGGGAAGTCTCAATTTATTATTCCCATTTGACAAATGTATATTTGGTATAGGCAGCATAAAAATCTTTTAGGTATTTTAGGTATTTAGTAGTTTGAGGTTCCCGTGTATACCTAAGCAAATTGCCGAATTGTATGAGATGTTTCTATAGGAACTGCATCTAGTGGTTGTAACTCATACTTCTCTGTCCAAGAAATAAATCCCTTGATTGGAACAATTCTGTTGCCCCAAAAATGGAATATGTTGTACGTCAGTAATTTGTTTAAGCATAACCTTTGTAGAGAACTAAATTCCATAGGATATGCTCTTGATGTTACCCCTGAACTTTACAGTTGAGACTATTGTGGAGGCAGGGGTTTCTAGGCTACTCCCCCTGTTCCAATCTGTTCTTCCTGTCTACTTCCTGCACTGTTTTTATGTAATGAAATTGTGCTATTGGGATTTTCTTAGCAAGGAGAGAATTGATGTTAACCACACAACTCTTTCCTTAAAAGATTATAAGGAAAGTGAGAAAAATATATTGAGAAGATGGGAGTATAATAGTTTGAGAATTCAACAAAATCTTACAAATCTGAAACATTTGAAGGTACACAAGTTTATTTTTCCCATGTGAAGTAAAATCAGGTGGAGTAACATGTGCTTATACCACTGATTCACCTGCTTATATTAAGCGCTGTTTACTAACACATGTCTTCATAAACACCGTTTAGTAACATGCGAAGTAAACATGTCCTTAATTACCTTTGTTAAGCTTTTTCACTTTTGGTTTTTGGTACAGGCCTTCTGAGATGGTGCAATCAAACAAAGAATACACAGAGGAAGACGTGACAAGCCATATGACTAAAAGTTTCCCTTTGGATTCATCACAGCAAGGGCCTTTTCTTCCCGGACTGCGTGGTGACATTGAAGCCATGGAACGCAACTTCTTCAGTGGTCTTGATCGTTTCTTTGATGCAGCGGAGCAGACAATGAATGGATTCTTTAGTTCATTTGGACTCCCCCGTGCTTATGAAGACAATGACAGTACTAATACTAAATCATTCCCAGCCTGGGGTCGTCGACGTATACCACTCGCGGAAGGCAACCCCTCAAAGGAATCTTCTACTGGAGTGAGTACTTCCAATGGAGACATTGATTTTTCTGGATTGACTAAAGATGTTTAAAGAAGGGTTTGTCGGTGTGTTTAAAGAGCTGTTACTAGTTTGATTGACAGTTGATGGTGAATATGAGCTCTATATACCATATAAATAATTTGGACCATAAATTTAAACTATGTAACTTTGGGGGTCGAGCGTTTCTTGGTAATGCACAATGCATTTTGTCAATCTGACATATCTTTAAGGGGTAATTTGACTTTGCACCCCATATTATTGTCCAAATTGGACTTTGCACCCCGTTTTTAAAAATCTTTGTTTTTGCACCCCAACCCCATATGAAAAGACAAAAATGCCCTCAACCAGGAATATGCTGAAGACCAACACAATTGTTAATGGATGGGCATTTTTGTCTTTTCAAATGGGGTTGGGGTGCAAAAACAAATATTTTTAAAAACAGGGTGCAAAGTCCAATTTGGACAATAAAATGGGGTGCAAACTCAAATTATCCCTATCTTTAAATAAGAAATGGGACTTTTTTTAGAGGAACCTCATATTAATTCATTTTCAATTTTTCATTTCAATTTCTACAAGTGTAATAATACTTTATGGCAAACCATTATCTGACATCATTCTTTCCATTAAATGAGCAATTAAATTGCCTCTTCTTTTTAATTGTGAAAAGTCAAATATCATCCAAGACAAATGCTCATTAAGTATCATCTTTCTTTTTTTATGAAGCTGCCTTAATGAAGCTTAAAGCGTCACTTTCAAGTATAATTTTCCTCACTCCCATCTGGTACCCTATCTGTAGTGCATATACACCCGTTGCATATTCTGCCATTTCCGCCTCCTAGTTCACATCACTCTTTTGACTCTTGCCATCACTAGGGTGCCATGTTCATCTCGAATTATTGCTCCAAGACCAACACGTCCTCCTTTGAACACAGCTGCATCACAGTTCACTTTCATAAAACTAGAAGATGATTTACTCCGCTTTTCGGCGCTACTACTCAAGTATGATTCTGGCCCTTCATAAATTTTTAAAGCATATTTTTGAAAATCTTTAACATATTGATCAAATCCCATCCGGATCAACCTCACTTGTGATTCTTTTTGCTCAAAAACCATCTTGTTTCGACTAGGGGTGGACTCGGGCCGGGCGGCCCGGCCCGGAACCAGCCCGGTTACTGTTTGGCCCGGCCCGGCCCGGGGCCCGGTGGGTCCACCGGTTCGGCCCGGCCCGGCTGCTGGGCGGTTCGGGCTCGGGCCCAGGTTTTGGCGAACCGGCCCGGCCGGTTCGGGCTTGGTTCGGGCCGGTTTTTAATTTTTTTTTTTTTGAATTTTTTTTAAGTTTTGGGTTGGATTAGGTATTTTGGGCCATTTGAGGTGGTTTGGGGTGGTTTGGGGTTGAGGGGGAGGGGTTGGGGGTTAAATAGAAGAGCCAAAAAAAAAAATTATAACCGGTTAGGCCCGGCCCGGCCCGGCCCGGCCCGGCCCGGTTTGGCCCGGAACCGGAACCGGAACCGCCCACCAGCGGTTCGGGCCCGGGCCCAACTTTCCTGGCCCGAGGCCCGGCCGGGCCCAGGCCCGAACCGGGCCCGAACCGGCCCGAGTCCAGGCCTAGTTTCGACAGAGTCACGCTACCCAATGATTAGTTGTGAAGCTATAAATCTCTTGATTCAAATTCTTCATAGCCCACTATAATAGTTCAATGGCGGACATATTCGGTGCCTCCATGAACATATTTCCCCAGATTTCATTCTTCTAAAGTTGCGAAGAGAATTTACGAAAAAACAACATATGACTAATTTCCTCATTAATACCTGCACACACGGGGCATGTTGGGTCATCAGTGAGGTTCCTCTTCCATAAGCTCTCCTTCATTGTTACAATGCTGAAATGAGTCGCCACAGGAAGTGCTTCAACTTTGGGGGATGTTGAGGTCCCAAATGTGCTTACAGAATGACCTTCTCAACTCTCTTTTCATTCCAATAGGTCCACGAACTTCTAACCAGTATGTTGTCCTTACTGTGAAAATCCCATTTTTAGTCGGCCACCAGTAGCGAGAGTCTTGAGGGCACCTTAAACTTAGTGGAATACAACTTATCTTCTTTGCCTCAATTAAAAAAAAAAACAGTTTGTTAGCATTGCTTCTTTCCACATCTTCTTCTCAAACTCGATAAGATTACTTATCCGTAAATCTGCATTCACGCTCAGGTTCAGATTAGGCCGTCTAAGAGATGGATCTCCGGGTACCAAATTGTCCTCACACACTTTGATACTTGACCCGTTGCTCATTCGCCACATTAAGCCCTCTATTAGTAAAGACTTCGACCCTATATGCTTCTCCATATATAACTAGGGTCGTAACCCCTTGCTGCATCGAAAAAATTAGAATTTTTGAAATATTTATGTTTGAAGTCGCCAACCTTGCTTAGCTAACAATGCTTGATTGATTGAAAACTCTTAGATCTCTAAATCCCATTCCACCTTCACTCTTGATCTTGCTTAATTTTTCCCAAGACACCAAGTACACTTTTATATGGTCCTCACATGATAAATATTCCCAAATATTTATCATGTTTCTCCACTTCATCTACCTAGAGCAAATTCATAATGCCAAGCCTTTTATCAGGAGACACATTCTTGCTAAAAGATATTTAGGATTTGTTTAGATTGATTTTCTGCCCGGAAGCTTTCTCATATTTTTTAATTATATCAGCAACAATTGAAGCCTCGTGGGGATTTGCCCCAACAAACAAGATACTATCATCTGCAGAAAAAGGCGGGGTATTCGAGAGGCTCCCCGACACACTCGAACTCCATGTAAACGCCCCTCATTAGCCACCTTAGTTAGGAGTTTTGAAAAAGCTTGAGCACAAATGAGGAATAAATAAGGAGATATGGGATCACCTAGGCATAAATCCCTGGATGGACGCACACTGCCTTGCACCTTTCCATTAATTACAAACGAATAGCTTACAATAGCCATACACTGCATAATCTTCTCCACCCATAGATTGTCAAATCCCATCTGAACCATGGCCTGTTGGATAAATCTCCACTCTATTCTGTCGTATGTCTTGCTCATGTCAAGCTTTAATGCGAAAGAGCCTACCTTTCCTTCACTTTTTCTCTTCATGGCATGAAACACCTCAAAAGCAAACAAGGCATTATCAGTAATATATCTACCGGGAACAAAAGCACTATGATTTTATGATATTATTTTAGGGTGTAGAACTTTCAGATGGTTAGCCATCATTTTTTAGATAACCTTATATACTACATTACACAAACTAATGAGTTTGTAATTAGAAATTTGTTTTGGCCTTTGGCATTTGGGAATTAATACAATATTAGTATAATTGATTTCCCTTATGTCAAAATATCTTATCCACCACAGATCTACCGTCTATATTATATCACTCCCTACAATGTGCCAGATTTTTGGAAAAACATTGCATGCATACCATCTTGTCCTGGGGCTTTGTTATGATGCATTTAAAAAGGGGCTACCTTGATATTCTCCACTGATGGTGCTCTAAGTAATTTCTCATTCTCTTTTGGGGTAACTACTCGAGTAATGCCAGTCAGTGCCACCCAGTGCCACCCCAGTCTCTATGCCCCCTGGTCTTGAATAAATCCACATAGAAATCAACAATGATACTCTTTATATCTTCCTCCTTTCCCGCCAAATAAAAAATGGAACTAGTCTTGAATTTGTAGGTAATTTCAATTCCTTGAGGCCCCACCCTTTATTAGATTATATTAAACACCTGACCGGGAAGGCAAGGTTGACTCACAAACGGGTGACCCCCCAGCTAAAACCAATTCAATTAAAGTTGTTAGTCATTAATTAAATCCCTATCTTTTATAATTTTATATTAGTAAAAGCATTCTAACTTCTTGCTATATGGTTTTCACAGTAATCTAAGAGCATCTCCAATGCTACAATGTGCATGGTGCACATGTGGCATGAGAGAGATAGACACACACAAAAATGAATTTATGACATTTCTCTATCATTCTTTCTACGGTTTTATGTGTTTTTGGTAAGTTTTCCTCTGCAATGTCAAGCACAATGTCTACATGTAGATATTGTGCTTGACATTGTGAAGAAAAACTTACCAAAATGATACAAGATCCTTCAAATAAAGAGATAGATATTCTATTTATTATTTTTTAATTGGCTATCTCTGATGCCATGTATGCACCGTTCACGTTTTAGCATTGGAGATGCTCTAAGTTGACGCTTGATCTTTAATATTTGGGAATAAATGCTTTTTTAAAAGGAAAAATCCTTGTTATTAGAGCATTTTCACTGCAACAATGTGCACAATACACATGTGTCATGAGACAGATAGACACACAAAAAAAACAAATCATTCACATTTGTTAAATTTCTCTTTCTTTCCACGATTTTATATAATTTTGGTAACTTTTTCATAACAATGTCCGCATCTAGACACTGTTCTTGATATTGTGAATTTTTTTTAACCAAAAACATAAGACATTTCATTAATGTTTATGTGTCTATCTCTATCATCTCACATGTGCACCATGTACATTATGACATTGGAGATGCACTTATTAACCAAGAATACCACTTAATTGTCAAGCGATTAGTAGGCGATTGTCCCTTATGCATGTTGGGGGATAAGACGTCTATACATTTGTTTATTAAGTGTAATAAACTGTCAGGTAGTTCACGGTGTGTGGGAGGAAGTGGTTTTTTATTCATTTAGTGGATGTGGACTCGTTATTGGTTAGTTTATAGAAAGCTTTTAGTTCTTTGGATGAGGAAGCCTTATCCGTTTTATTGCGCTCCTTTGGAGCATCTCTAAATTGAGAAATGGGATTGTCTGGAGAGAACCATGCTCTATTGCAGGTGTTTAAAGGGCTGCTACTTGCCTACTAGTATGCTGGCGGCGGGAGAGATGCGTATGAGAAGAGTTCCAAGTCGGGCGCAACAAAAGGGGACAAAGGATCATCGAGGTGGCAGAAACCCATTGTAGACTAGATAAAAATAATTGTGAATGCGGCCAATAAATTTCAGTATGAAAAATGGGCATGTGGTGGATAGGATGTGATCGTGACAGGCGATTTATCGAAGCACAATGTCGGAATGTTAAGGTCGTGTGGTCGCTTGGTCAGTGGTGGAAGCAGGGAAGGTATTGTTTGAGAAAAGGAGAATAGGTGGATGTGTGGAACAATGTTGAAATTGAAATGGATGCGCCTTTGGTCTTAACTGGTATGCATGGGGTGAAGTACGATTCACAAGTGGGAGTAATTCTTTAGGATAATAAAGTTTACTGGAAGACGGAATTAATTTTTCAGTTCAATGGTGCAGAAGATCAACCAATCAAGTGGCCCATGTTCTTGCAAAGGCGTCTATTTCTGTTACTGTTTGCGATGTCATTTTATTGGGAAAACGAAAAATTCTCGAAATATGAGTAAAATCATTTTGGAATTCTAAAATAGGGTCATCATATTTTTATGATAGAATAATTATCATGTTTTAGTATTTGTAATTGGAAGGATAAGATTTTATACAAATCCGCCTCATCACTCGCCTCTAAGGCTCAAACCGTCCCATTTGCTTTCCCCGATTAACTATTAAATTTTGGGAAAGTTCACACAAGTATCATGTGGCTGTTAAAAAGAAAAGATAACACTACATACTTGAGGGTCCCCAAAATCGGCGGCCGGACAATTATTTGGAAAGATGTAAATTAAACTTAATTTGGAATTGAACCTGAGACCTCTCCTGTGTAGCACCCTCTTCACTGGCTGAGCCATGCCCTGCATGTGGTTGGTTTCAAACATTAGGGGATAGTGGTTTGTTTTGAGTTGATTCGTGGTATTGCGTTGTTGGCACATGAGGGAGTCTATGTATTAACGATGTTAAATCGGCTGATGTGGTACGTATTTGTTCTTTATTGATAGATCCTTCTCTAACATTTTGGGTCCTTCATTGCAACATTGGTACACACAACTGTGGTATCACCTAGTTAACACACATCTCTGCTATACTTTTTTCTTAAAACATTAATATTTTTTAGGATTAATTAATTATAACTAATTTTTGAAAAACTAAAATTAAAATTTTGATTAATGTCAGCTCTTGTAGGCCATTAGTTTTTATTAATTTTATTTTTGTCTTTAAGTCTTGCATCACATAATCCAGACATGATGCCTATAGTTTTTCCAAATTTTTACATTTGTCACAAAATATCTTTCAGTAATTAGTACTCTCTAACTCTTATAATTGTTATTTATATTATTTGCACAACTAATACTACTATTATTATTAGCATTATTAATAATATTATTAAATAATTAATTAAAAAAAGACGTTCCAAACCAGAATTGCCCAGTCCTGAAACTGTCAATTTTGGGAGAAACCGAACTGGATTAGTAAACATTCGGTTCCAACCGGAAGTATTATGCGATTTCGGTTACGGTTCTGGTTAAAAAAAAGCGGGGATTCTGATTTTATTGGAAATCGGAGACTTGTCTAGTTGGGGGGGGGGGGGGGGGGAGCAGAAGGTGTTGAACACAAGAGGAAGGTGTTGGGGTTAGGGGTGGGGGCATTGGTGGGCGTAGGGGGTCTCGGGGATAGTAAGGAACAGGCCAGGGAGGCGGAGGTGGTTGTGGTAGTGGCCGGGAGGGTGATGGCTTGGGAAGTGGTAATCACTGGATGCATGGGGTGTACGGTCTTTCCAACAAGCTACAAAATGCTTGGAATAGATAAAAATATAGCACGATATGATAGAATCAAATACTACACGAGTTTTGAGTGAACTCGGAAATGATTATGAGTTTCCAGTTAATATGTGCATACTCTTTGATACATAACAAAGGAAGTCTAAAAACGGGTTTTGGAACTCAAAATGATTTTTCCAACGAGATATAAAATGCTTGAAATGGAATTGAGACGGTAATCATTATGCGGCGGCAGATCATTAGTCGCCAGAGCCACTGACAATAGGTCACTGGAGGCGGAGATCACTGAGGTCAGGTCACTTGTGATTTTGTGAGATTGTTTCATTCATTATTGTACATTAGGAGGGGTGATTTAGTATATTAAGGACTAGTTTAGTCACATTTGCCGAAATTAAAAAAAACGTCTCTTCTTTGTCCATAACATATTTTTAGTACTTCGTTCCTTAAAACATTGTCAAATTTAACTAACAGGGAGAGTAATAAAGTAACAGGAAAAATAATTGAAATACCCCAAACTTTGAAGAAGTGTGAGATAAAAACCTCAAACTTTCATATGTAATTTAAATACCCCAAACTTTATATAAAATTTTATTTTAACACCATGATCTTGTATTATTTCTTTCAAAAATGTAAATTTTGTGTGTTAATTTCACAATTTAAAATAGCAATTATACAGAGTGGGGGGGGGGGGGGGGGTTACAATGGAATTTTAGAATGTTAATTATATTGTATCTTATTGAATGCTAAAATATTTTAGATTATGCAACTAACATAATAACTTTACATTTTTGAAAGAAATATTACAAGGCCATGGTGCTAAAATACCTTTTTACATAAAGTTTGGGGTATTTAAATTACATATGCAAGTTTGGGGTGCTTACCTCACACCTTTTCAAAGTTTGGGGTATTTTAATTATTTTTCCCTAAAGTGACAAAAAATGTAATTGTGTTTGGTGTAGAGGGAAAAGAAATAACAGAAATTATAAATTAATTTTTTTTTTGAGGAAAGGTGGCTTAAATTGATATCACAGCATGCAGATAAGGGCTAAAAAGACAAAGAGACCACAGACAACTGCTGACTCTCGAACCAGACTCAGAGTTAACCACCTCAAAAGAAGCAATATAACTCGTTGATCCATTTATGGGCGCAACTGAACCAAAGATGGTAAACGCAGACCTCCTGCCACCCAAATCCAAACTCAAAGTCTTACAATGCAGAAAAGTAACAAATTGAAAAACAAAACATAGTACTCATTCCCCAAGCACTAAACGAGCCCGCATCCCGAACCAACTCCTTGCATCTGCATATTCGGCGAGCTTAGACATCTGAGCCCGCCTCCTCCCCATTTTTTGACTTGTCAACAGCCATAGATTTATTGCCTGGCGCCTCCTGCTTCGGATCTTCCCAGATTCTTCTTCTTTTCTGTTCTCCTGACACTTCCTCAGTATTCTCCAGGTCTTCATTGTTAGTTGTGCTATCCCCGTGCCAGTCATAGAGTCATTCCAGCTCTGCCCTCCTAAGCCGTCCCCCATGTTGGAATTCTCATGAAGAGAGCGACTACGGGTTGTTGTACTATTGGGGGAACCCTCCACAAGCCACTTGTTTCCTCCTGTAGGACTAGTCTTCACCCCACTACGTGCTCTCATACTAGTCCCAAAAGATTTTTCCAATACCAAATTGTCCTCATATTTTAAAGGACAAAAATTGTCAGTGTCCAATAATCCCACAAATGAAACAAAAATTGGGTAGTTTTTCATATTTGAATTCAACCCAGTGCCCAACTCCTTCTTTCTTACGAGATGTTCCTTTTTTCAAGGGTTTACGCACATCCATACAAACTCTGACACGCAGATAAGCTTCCCATTTTCCTCAAACTGATTGTCATCAAATTTAACAAATCTGTCAATAAAATTACCAATTCTTCTAGCAGTTCCTATGTTCATCAAGCTATAAGGAACATTATGAACTTGAACCCAGAATTCTGCCTCATTAAGATCAATTTTAAGAGGAATATCATCAGGTTTTACCTCTTTCAATAGCAGCAAATTCCTTTCAAAAAGCCACGGGCCACCATCCAACACATGTTTCATATCCACACTATGATAAAAAGTAAAAGGATATCTTTTCTCGCCAACCTCCTTGATAGACACTCCCTTACCTGGTCTCCATAGTGAAGCCATAAGGTCCTTGAAGATTTAAAATTTGATCTTCCCATTTGTCAGTAGATCACCAACCACCGAGAACGTCGGCCACACCTCTTACGCCGCAACCTCACCAATCTATTCCTCATCCAGGTTTAATTCCTCCGGCGCCTCACCAATAGCCATCTGTTTGTACTGATTGATGATTGATTCCATTAAATTCCTGCGCTTTTAGCAATGGTCTGATGCCCCTCCCCGTCGGCCTACCTTTGCGACCGCCAAAACCAGACCGGCCAACCGCACAGCCTGGTGCCGAATACTCCCTTCCAACATCAAGCTTCCTCCGTCGTCAAGTGCTCCTCGCCCAGCCGGTCACACCCCTCCGGCCCTCCGACAACAATCCCTTTGCCACTAGTATGAGAAGCCGCTCCTCGAACGAGTCGATGGCGGAGATATACTCTAGCGGCGATAAGCCTTTAGTTTAGAAAATAAAACATATTACTCCTCTGTCTACACATGTACCCAATTCGAATCGTAACTAGAAATTATAAATTAATTAAAAAGTGACAAAGTTTGTGAGACAATAAAAAAAGATAATTACAAAGATATATAAGTGACAAAAGACCAATATTTATAACAAAACCCCATAAGCATACAATAGGCTATACTATAATAATAAATTAAAAAGTTAACCAAAAAATAGTTAAAAAAATGACATGCATACTATTAATAGAGTTCCATCAGATAAAAATATGAGTAGTTATATTTTTGGACAAAAATATGACTAGTCACTATGTATGAGTAACTGGACAAAAGTCGATATAGTGTATTTCATAGTGACAAGTCACTGGTAGATGACGCGTCATTGAGAACTAGTCACTAAATATGTCACGTTTTTGGTAAATTTTAAAACAAATTATATTTTTGTTTTTTGAATTTAATTTAATAATATTTTTGAAAATAGGCCTAAAAATGGATTCCATACATAATGACGAGAGCTTATACCGTACACCCGATTGTACGGTGCTAAACGTACAACCGATTATTTTATCTTACAAGTAATGAGTTTAACGTTTAAAAGAAATGAGCATTAATATTAAATCGCTGTACTGGTAGCACAATTGAGTATTAGAAGTGTACAACCGATTATAAATTTTATACTTTTATGAAAATATTTTAATTAAAAAATGTTTTGATATAATTTTTATTTTCAAAATAATTTCGTATTAAAAAAGGGGTTTTTATTTGAATATTACGGAGTACTAATTTTGAACCAATTACCAAAAAAGTGATCACTTTTAAAAATGAGCAAAAAAGTGATCAAGAAGGTCATATTAATGTCATTCCTAGATTTTAATGTCACCATCTTGTTTTAATGTCACTATCAAATGTCACTGCCGTCACCGCCCGTGTCACTGCTGCAACCGCCTGTGTCACTGTAACCACCACATGTGTTACTGTAGCCACCACTCGTGTCACTGCGGCCACCGCCTGTGTCACTGTGGCCACCGCCCGTGTCACTGCGGCCACCGCCATTACCGGCCACAGTGACTTATATGCAGTGACATCTAGTCTCCATTGCCCATATCACTGCCACCACTGCACCTACAAATCCGCAGTGACATTCCACAGTGACAAACGCCGACCAGCTATCCCGGCCACCACCATAAGTGTCTCCCCATACCCAGCCTACTTCCACTGCCCTCCCCATCCCACGCCCAGCACCGGAAAATCCGCATCCCAACGCCCAGCACCGGAAAACCCCCATCCCAAACACAGAGCACCGGAAAACCCTCATCTCAACGCCCTAGCACCGGAAAATCCCCATCCCATCGTCGTAGATTTGGCCGAACGTGATAATCCAACAGATCTGGGCTTAGATTTTCGTTGCTCCGGTACATGAGCTCCAGTACACGACGGATCTGCCTTAACATGAGCTACAATACCTGCGACGACCAAACTCCGGATGAAGACGGATTCGGCACCGGCGGCCTTAAATTGAAATCTTCGCCCATCGAGAACGACAATTCTAATGGAGGAGAGGCCATCGAGGCCGACGGAGAAGGTGGTCGGCTTCAGTTGCAGACGACGGAAGAAGAAATGAGAAGGAGAAGATTTGTAGCAGGGCGGCGACGGAAGAAGAAACGAAGAACGGGAGCGGCGGCGGAAGAACGGAAGTGGCGGCAGAAGAACGGCAGGGAGAATTGCTGGAAGAAATCGGTACTCCGTCTGGTGGAAGAATTGCTTGAGGAAGAAGATGATGGGAACGATTGTAGAGGCGAAGCGTAGAAGAGAGAGCCAGATGCGTGACGGGATGCAGATGAGCTTTTAGTTAAGTCACTTTTTGGTCAAAATTTAAATTACTCATATTTTTATCCATCAAAACATTTTTATAAAAGGGTCTATCAAAACATTATGAGTAATATTTTTCCAATTGTTTCTTAAAAAATATGATTGTGGTTAGGGTTGGGTTCGGTTCTTGCGATTCGGTTTTGACCTAAACCAAATATAGAATCAAAGTAAAAAGTTCGGTTTCGGTTTGGTTTTACACTCCAAAACTTGGAACCACGGTTTGATTGGTTCAGTTTGTTTCGGTCCGGTTTCGGTTTTTTCGGTTTTTTACCAAAAAATTATCATTTGATTCAAAATTTATATAATACTTAGAGGGATCAAACATATTACATAAAGAATGCAAGCACAATACAACGACAAATAAAATAAAAATGAGAAGAGATAAATATGTCTTGAATTGTATGAGTATGCGAGATAGATAAAACTGTATATATTATAGATTTAATTTGTTTGTGAGTTGTTCGAAAAAAGTTCATGAATATATACATTCTATACTTCTATGTGATATAGTTGAGATGAATATTTATTGTTTTATCAATATAAATTCTTTAAGTTATCTAAAAAAAGTTAATTACTACGAATAACTAGTAAACACATATTATTATCATTCAATATAGCTACATTATTACAGACAATGAATGTGTAAATGAATTTATAAACTAAATTAAATTAAACATAACACAAACATTATTTTTCAACACAAAAAAACCAAAGACTAATGATGATATTAAGATTAATTAGAATTAATCCTTAACAATTAAATTATAAATTTCATATTTTAAATAGTTCGGTTTGTTCGGTTCGGTTTTGAAGGGTAAAAACCAAAACCGAACCAAACAACTTCGGTTCGGTTCAGTTTTTTACATTCGATTTCGGTTTCTTAACAGTTCGGTTTTATTTGGTTGCAGTTCAATTTAATTTGATTCAGTTTTCGGTTTTTCGGACCCAGTCCTAATTGTGGTGGGAATTGGGGTGGGGATATAATTTACGACGTGATGACGGGATTTGGACATTCCAACAAGAAAACCTACCTTTCTCAATATCACATGCAAACAAAGAGTCATGACCTGCCCACAAATTGGAGAAAAGAAAAATCGAGAGAAATTTAGATCAAGATCAAAACCCTAACCCAAACCCGCGATTCAAGGTTTCGTCCATTCCAGTAATAGAAGCAGATTCTTAGATTTCAAAGAACGAAAAACAGCTACTTCGTACAAAAAAATCGACAATCCCTCTAACCTTGGTTTCCCCATGCACAATCATACCTTTCCAATCTCCCACCTTAACTTTCTTCTTTCTCCCTTTCCATTGCCCTGAAATTATCCTTTTCACTATTGGTAATTATTACTCAATCCATTGTATCGAATATTTAATTCCTACACCATAATAAATCCTTACGCTCTCTGAGTTTTTTTCAAGTTTTGCATGTGTTATTTAGCCAATGGTGATTTCGAGTTTAATGTTATTCATATTCATTTCTCAATCTCGAATCTCCCTGCTTTGATAGAAGAAGGCATACTATTTTGGCGGGGGAATTGGGACTTTAGATCACATTTCAAGATTCAGTTCAACTGAGTGGTAGCATAGCAGAATATAATATAAAGATATTAGGGGAGGTAATTTACAGCAATGGGGAACAACTGTGCCCATGGAAAAATATCCGGGAAGGGATTCGATTCAGTCTTTTGGTGGTTCAGAATACCAAATAAGCTAAAAGTCAAGAAAAAGGTGATAAGTAATAATGGAGATGCTAATAGAGAACCAGTAGGTGACATTGCTTCAGTTCAGACCAACCCCCCAGAGATTGAGCAGATAGAGAAAGGGGATAATCAGCATAGCTCTGAAGGGCCAGAACATATTATGACAGGGAAGGAAGGGAAAAATGCAGGCTCAAAACAGGATGATAACAATGAGAAACCTGTCGAGCCTTCAAAACCTCGAAAACCGCTTAATACCAAGAGAATGCTTAGTGCGGGTCTCCAGGTTGATTCAGTGTTAAAGACCAAAACTGGAAACCTAAAAGACTATTTTACTTTGGAGGAGAAACTTGGGCATGGCCAATTTGGCACCACTTTTCTTTGTACTGAGAAGGCAACCGGGCTAAGATACGCTTGTAAATCCATAGCAAAGAGGAAGCTGTTGACAAGGGAAGACGTTGATGATGTCAGGAGAGAGATTGAGATCATGCATCACTTGGCAGGCCATCCTAACGTTGTTTCCATCAAAGGGTCTTATGAGGATGCTGTGGCGGTTCACGTTGTGATGGAGCTGTGTGCTGGTGGGGAGCTATTTGATAGGATCGTCAAGAGAGGCCATTACTCTGAGCGGCAGGCTGCTGGACTCGCTAGGACGATAGTTGGGGTTGTTGAGGCATGCCACTCCCTTGGTGTCATGCATCGTGACCTTAAGCCCGAGAATTTCCTCTTTGTCAATGAGAAGGAGGATTCACCTCTTAAAACAATCGATTTTGGGTTATCCACGTTCTTCAAACCTGGTAAGTGTTTCTTATTTGGAAGCTTTCTGATAAGTAGTACTACTTCCATCTACAAAAAAAGATTCTTGTTTCACCATGGTAATTTTTTTTACTAAGTCATTTAATTGAAATCATAACTCTAGCTAATCTCTTGAACTTTGATTTGTTCGTTATTTAATTTAGCATACCTAACTTGTTTGACTATCTTTTTTGGCAAATTCTTTAAACAATTTGTTTTTTTATTACAGTGGAGTCTTCTTTGGTACATAAAATTGTGTTTGAAACAAGGAACTTCTTTATGGGGATGGAGGGGGGGGGGGGGGGGGGTATATTATAATCATGTTCTCATAAATAAAACAGGTTCTTGAAATTTTAAGTTCTTATCAAGCATTCAAGGTTCTCATTCTGCATTGGATCTTTGAACATATGTGGTTCAGTGATGGTAGATGTGGTTCTGTTATTGTCCATTGGGAAGTATAATTTGGAAATAAAGTAATGTTAGATTGCTGATTATCCAGTGCATAAAAAAGGAAATAATTGTATGCAGTATTTTAAGATTAAATGTCATCTTTGAATGTTTTCAGTAAATTAGGCATATAATTTATCATTATTGCTCTCACATTCTGTGTTCTTGAATTTAGCATACCTTATTAATGTTTTTTTAAGTTCTGAAACATAGGGGATGTTTTCAATGATGTTGTTGGAAGTCCTTATTATGTTGCACCAGAAGTATTGCTCAAGAGTTATGGTCAAGAAGCTGATATCTGGAGTGCAGGTGTGATCATCTACATTCTCCTTAGCGGGGTGCCTCCTTTCTGGGGAGGTAAAGTCTGTCCTTGTGTTGTATTTTGTTAAAACATCATCTATCAAATATATGTTTATGTACATTTAGGCTCTATTTGGCAGTCTCATAGAATTTGAACGCTTTTCCTTTCATAAAATTCACCAGATCAAGCTGCCAAATAACCCTTAGTAAACGAGCTCTTAGTATGTAAATACATTTGATTATATACGTTGCATAAGGTGCCTGATTCCCTGATGTGTTCCCTAAAATTTCACGCATCAGATGTGAATGTTGTTTTGCTTAATTTGTTTGATGCAGAAACTGAGCAAGAAATATTTGAAGAGGTGTTGCATGCTGACATTGATTTCAAATCAGAGCCATGGCCTCACATTTCTGACAGTGCTAAAGATCTAGTAACAAAAATGCTTGTAAGAGACCCCAAAAAACGGCTATCTGCTCATGAAGTTCTGTGTAAGTTCAAATTTTGCCATCTGGACGCTAAAAACCAAATTTATATATTGCTGGTTTAAACTATATCACCTACACCTAAATTATCGCAGGCCACCCTTGGGTACAGATTGATGGGGTGGCTCCAGATAAGCCTCTTGATTCTGCTGTTTTGACGCGGTTAACACAATTTTCTGCGATGAACAAACTCAAGAAAATGGCTCTCAGGGTAAGATATTTTTACTTTGAGCATAACTGTTGAATAATAAACCACATACTACTTTTATTGATTTTGCAATATCTTTTAACTCGGTTAACCTAGTATTCATATTGGGACTAACCCCAATGTGTGTAGGAACTAGGAAGCTAAACTCTAAATCTGATTGAGAATAGGAAACTATAATACTACTAAAACTATTATTAGTATAGTACTATAGCTATTAGTGTCTAACTTTCACACGGTTACATGCTTTTTTATTTAATGAAGTTACTTTTTTCTTTACCAACCTAAAACTACAGGTTATTGCGGAGAGGCTTTCTGAAGAGGAAATTGCTGGATTAAGGGAAATGTTCAAAATGATAGATATAGATGGGAGTGGTCATATCACCTTTGAAGAATTGAAGGTCGGGTTAAAAAGATTCGGTGCAGATCTTAATGAGTCTGAAATACATGATCTTATGAAGGCCGTAAGCATATATTTTAATGGTTTTACATATACATATGTATATGTATTCTTTGTTGGATTCTTCATCATTTTCTTCTTTTTTGTCTAATTATATTGTTCTGCTGTATTTCTATTGAGAATTCAGGCAGACGTAGACAACAGTGGTACTATTGACTATGGAGAGTTCATAGCCGCAATGTTGCATATTAATAAAATCACTAAGGAGGACCATTTGTTTGCTGCATTTTCTTATTTTGATAAAGACGGAAGTGGGTATATCACAGCTGATGAGCTTCAAAAAGCTTGTGACGAGTTTGGCATAAAAAATCCTCATTTAGAAGAAATGATTCAGGAAGCAGATCAAAACAATGTAAGTCCAATCCTCATTGTTTGACAGTATTTGCATTGTAAATTTCATGTCACGGACCCCACCATAGTTTGGATTGATGAAGGTGATGAATGATGATAACCAAAGTATCATAGTAGCATAGTCCGTTTTGTTTCACATTACATTTAAATAAACGTGTTTATGTTTAGCAGACTTGTCTTCGATATATGATACGGAGTACATAGTATATATCAATTACTAAGTTAAGATAAGATTTTTTAAGAAATACAATTTTTTATAAGCCATGTCAAGATCATAGCAATATAGCATGTATTTGAAAACAATGAAAGAAAGACATATCCGTCTGCAGTGGTTTTTGAAATTCTGTTTCCGTTTCCAGAACTGAGAAACCTTTATATTGTTCTGTTTATTAAATGTCTACCTCCACAAGAAAATAGTACAGAAAATAGGAGTGTGGTTAAACGACAATATTGTTCATGCCAAATCATTTTATCTTTCAGGATGGTCGCATTGATTACAGCGAGTTTGTGTCTATGATGCAAAAAGGAGCCATAAATTTAGGCAAGAGACAATATCTTGGTGGTTTCTTTTCATTGTAATTCCAAACTTCTTCACATGATTCTGACGAAGACAATCTTTTTAAGCAGGTTGATAAACATCCCAAGAGATTCAAAGTGTATGAAGACAATACAACAAGCCAATGCACGATCAACTTGGAAGGTGGAATATGGGAGGGGGATTGCTTTGTCTCTCATTGTGGAAAAAGGATCAAAGGGCGACTTCATGGGACTACGTCAGTGATGATGATTGAGGGAGAGGCATAGCATCAGCCTTGAAATGTCATATAAAGGAAAGAATGTTAAAAGCAAATATCTTTTTCTTATAATTATATTTTGGAAGTCTTAGGGTATATGCATAATTGCATATCAGAATTGCTCAGTGCTTGTACTCTCTAAAAGAAAGACACAACCCGGATGTATGTTTATATATTAATATTAATATTAATATAGTAGTAAAAGAAAGTATATAGACATGCCAAAGAAGTTGGAGATGTATTTGCATTCACAAGCTGAGAATGCACACTTTCATAGAGGCTAAAAACATATCTAACACCTGGTCCACCACCCATGTTCTGCTGTTTAGAAACAAGTAAGAAATATGTCTGGTTTCTTTTTTTCTTTTCTGGCACACCAAAATGTAAGCCAAGACGAGCTTAAATAATACGTCACAAATAGGAACACAAAAAATTGAAGTGGGTAATTACAATTGTGGCTATAAAAAGACAAGACAGAGAGCAAGACGAGAATCTGTGTTGCATCTTTCCCCCTTCACCCATCTTTTCCTTTTAGAAGACCGTCAACATAGTTGACCTAAACCTGCAAATATATTATTCTCAGCTGTGTTGTGTTAAAAAATTCTTGATCACCCAATATTATTTTTTATATGTAACTCACCACAACATTTTCCATCATTTGCAATGGAGCCAAAGATTCATTATTTTTTGGTTTGATAATATGATGGAATAAAGCAAAAATGGTTCACTAAACTGTCTGCGCTTCTTTGTTATGAAGCAGCAGTCAGTCCATGCAATTTTGGACGCGATTTTCACTATGGGTCATCCAGAAACAGTCTCTCTGTGCTTTAGTACAGGAGTAAGACTGCGTACATCCGACCCCCCTTACCCCACTGTAGGTGGGAGCCTTTGCGGCACTGGGATAAATGAAAATGAAAATGAAAGACTCACCACAGCAGATTCCAGGTCCTTTTGTTCACTAATTTTCAATGTATTACTTCAAGAACAGGCTGCGGCTAGGCCAAGAGACCCAAACATGGTACAAGCTACCTCCATCAACTTTCCTGCTAACAAACATGAGTCTCATACGTTTAGCCGATGAATGAAAATATACAGAGGAAAGTGTGAACGAATACACTGAATCACAATAACATGTTAGAATCTCTATTACCAAAAAATTAGCAAAATATTACTCCTGCGATTTCTACAGACTAAAAAAAACTAGGTGTACACGTTTCTAATAAATTCACCGAGTAACCTCAAAACTCTAAGCATATCCCAATTTTTCTTTGTCACCTATCTCCAATGTTAAAAGCACTTGAAATCGCCCGCCGGTCACAGTGACATGTGGAGGGGTGTTTTATTAAGGACAATGATGTTTCTTGGCTGCACTGGTGTATTAAAAATGACATATATATTCAAATTTGTTTGAAAAATTTTAAAAATTGTTAAATTTTAATCTTTAGTTTTCCTTTAATTCTTTGGTGAGAGTAGTGTTTGGTTGAAATAACAAACTAGGTTGAATAATTACTTGAGTAGTTAAGTGTGATAATAGTGGAATGCGTTGAATGACCTAAAATCGTATATATGTACTTGATCTAAAATTAGTAAACTCAAAGAAACAGTATATTTAAAAGAAATAAGTAAAGTGTGGTTGCTTTCATTTTAGACACCTTAGGTGAAAAAATAAGTTCTTGTTCGTTTTTCATTATCTCCTACCCATACAATAAGGATACAATAAGGAAGTGTTTGGTCAATACATCTAAAGTCAAATAATTTGGAAATTGTAGATTAATCAACATTCAAACTAGTTACACATCTAATGATTTGAGTGTGGAAAAAGAAGGTGAAGAAGAGGAGAAGAAAGGAGGAATAAGAGGACGGCTCACTTAAGAAATCAATGTATAGGTGCACTAAGCTAGGAATAAATAAAGATAGATTGGGTGGCAAAAAGTCACAGGCTGGAATCTTTGTGTATTTTCGA